GATATGACTCTGAAAACTCTGAAAGCATCACAGACAGTAAGCCTTTAAATCAGAGGAAAAACATATTTGAATATCTGTCAGATTTGTTGGCCACCTCTATCGATCAGGGACTCCTAAAAGATGATGATGTGGAATCCTTTTTTTTTTTTTACTTTGATCTTTAAAAAAATTGCCTTTGATAATTTATAATATGCATTAAAATTATATTTATGTATCATCACAACCCGACTTGTAACCTCCAGTCAAAGAGGCATTGCTGAGATTCTGATGTAGACCTCTTCACCTTTACTCAAGCTGCACTTTGAGTATGCATGAGTAAGTCAAACTCCTTGGAGCACACTTTCATGCCGCTCTTTGTCATTTGTGTGTGTGCGTGTTCATTTATGTGTTTGGAGCCTTTAGTGCAGAGCAGTGGTAATGATAAGACACTGGCACAGCTGGTATACGCTAAATGAGGACTTCTTTTAAGCCAAGCCAAGAGTGAAGAGTACACACTGCAGGGACATGAAACGCAGCACCTCCCCCCCCTTCTCTGTGCCCCCTCACTCCACAGCCAAGACTTACCTCACCCTCTGTCTCCTCCACCCTGTGGCTCCATCTCCACTCAGTTTAACATCACTCTAGCTCTCCGGCCCCTGTGCATGATCCATGACTGGATGGATGCTGGCTTCAGTAATTAGAGCGGGCTGAAACAGACAGAGGACACAGCGTCCCCCTCTCGCTCTTGTTCCCTACACCTGGGCGAGATATTTTTAGCCCACAATGAATGAGAGGGAGCGAGGGCATCAACATGGCAACACAACGGGTTTGCCTGGCCCAAATCAGAGTCTGTAAATCTGGGACCCTAAACAAGAGACTGCTTCTCAAACTGTCTTATTATTCTGCCTCCCAGCTCCTGGACAGTCTGGTAGAGGAGGAAAGGAGGAAAGGAGGAGAGGAGGAGAGGAGGAGAGGAGGAGAGGAGGAGAGGGGGAGAGGAGGAGAGGAGGAGAGGAGGAGAGGAGGAGAGGAGAAGAGGAGGAGGAGGAGGAGAGGAGAGGAGGAGAGGAGAAGAGGAGGAGGAGAGGAAAAGAGGAGAGGAGGAGAGGAGGAGAGGAGGAGGAGAGGAGAAGAGGAGAAGAGGAGAGGAGGAGAGGAGAAGAGGAGGAGAGGGGGAGAAGAGGAGAGGAGGAGAGGGGAGAGGGGAGAAGAGGAGAGGAGGAGAAGAGGAGAGGAGGAGAGGAGAGGGGAGAGGAGGAGAGGAGAGGAGGAGAGGGGGAGAAGAGGAGAGGAGAGGGGGAGAGGAGGAGAGGGGGAGAAGAGGAGAGGAGGAGAGGAGGAGAGGAGGAGAGGAGGAGAGGAGGAGAGGAGGAGAGGACATCTGGTTTCCTTTCTTGACGTCTGTGTTTTTTCCAGCTCTGGATTCTGGTGCAGATAACTAAATGAACCACTGTGTCATTCCACCCGGTCACAGCGGATGATGTGAGATAATAAGATAATAACACGAAAAACACAAACACTCCTTTTCTCTCTGTGTTTGTATGCAAGTGTGTACACACACATGTTTCCCCCACCGAGGCTGCACACTCTTATGACTTTCACGATCGACCCTCCTTTGCATATCAAGCTCCCAGTGTGTTTGACTTCTTCAACATTTTTATTCACAAGATGCATATCTGCTCTCTAGACCTGCGAACACACACAACACACAACACACACACACACACATTAAGTCCTGACCCAGGCCACCCTACAGCACTTCATCTTTGAGCTGCTTGTCTTCAAACGCTGCAATTTCTCACCTCGAGGAGCACACAGGCATCGTCCTTTACGATAAATCACAAAACTGGTGTCCAGATTTTTAATAACCTGCACTCATGCCAGAAAGTGAGCAACATCAATTCACACACACAAAGACGCCTGTTTTCATCTGTGTTTCTAGCTTCTTCTTTTTTTTTTTTTTTTTTACACAGTGTACACAACATAACCTCAACACACACGCTGGAGGCTCATCGTATCACCTCCTGCGATAGCTTCGCTCCAACTTGTAGAAGCACCTGGAATGTCACTTCAGGGCCCTTCCCACGGCCGGTCAACAGGCCGTGCATTATCAGGGTAATTACCTCCGGAGAATTGATGCCTCTACCAATGCTTCCTCATTACCTCAGCGGGTACACTCAACAGACTCCTCTGTGTGCTCTGTCTTCACCAAGCCATACCTCAGAGATCAACACCATGAGTCCAATAAACCCCAGCACAATGACACATTTTAGGGACAGCGGTGGAATGTCGGGCAACATTTCAGACTGTTGTGGCAGTATACAGACACTTAATGGTCCATCTGTGTAAAGCCATAAAGATGGATTGGGCAGGGCAGCAGACAATTGGTTTTATCTTGTGTTGCACATTTGGCGGTAGCTGCAAGTGCTTGAAAATCCATCCCGTAATTAGCCCGCAGCTATTCCCCCTGTTCAGTCCCCTCAGCCCTGCAACATGTTGTTCAGGTCAACAGAGGAGTCAACGCAGAGCCAGGTGTTCAACAGCTGTGATCGCCAAACAACCACCACCTGGTGTTTGTGAGAGCCTGTGCACACTTTGGATTAAGATAAACAAAATGTAGATTTTAAAACAAAGTTAAGAAGTTCGTTAATAGGGGTGTGGGGGAAAAAATCGATACATTTATTTGAACATATTTTCAGATTTAATAATTTCAGTGATTTTTAAATGTTCTATTTTAATGTTTCTTTTCTTTCCTCTGTCGTGATGCTTTTTGATGTTTTGTGTGAATCACTTTGAATTGCCTTGTTGTTGAAATGTGTGACATAAACAAACTTGCCTTGTCTTGTACGGTTTATGGAACAGAAAGACAAAACTTGCCTCGTCTCTATAGCTGTTGATCTTCCTGTGAAAACTCCGACCTATCACTGTCGTGAGGACCGGATGGAAAGATCCAATCAAAATGCCTCCCTGTGTGTACTCTAGCCTTTTGCTGTTCACCAGCTTGAACTCCAAGCACCTCACCACCGTCTGAGATATTCCACATCTACCAGAGGAGGCAGAGAGAGTCGTGGACAAAAAAGAAAGACTGAAGAAGAAGAAGAAGAAGAAGAAGAAGAAGAAGAAGAAGGCTGCAACGAAAAAGGATTTAAATATAACCAGAAGACAAACCGCACCAAACAAACCGAGCCTTCCTTTAAGCGTCCTCTAACGTCTAAGTAATGATTAATGTTCATAACAATCACAAGTGACAAAACCTCGTTTAAAAAAACCTGCTATCTTGCAGTGTAGACGATCTCTAAAGACTGAGTGGGCGGGTCTAATCACATTTTGATTGACATCTGCCTGGCTCATCTACACAGCAACACATAATCATGCAACAAATATTCTGTAGTTCAGCCCCAAACATTTTAGGTTTGAGTCGTCCAAGTCTGAAGAAAATAGAAGCCTTTCATCTGAGAATATTTCTGATGGTCACTAGCTGTGTGTTCATATCAGTTCTTAAGATAAGAATGCTAAATGATATCCCATTAGCATTAGCACGTGCTACATCAATGTGATGCTTGATGCTTCATAATACAATGATAAAATGCACCACTCAATTCTGGCAGATGAGAAAGTTTTTCAACCACAGTTGACACTGGACAAAGTTCATTTTCTAGAACATTCCTGTTTAAAAAGAAAACTCCCTTTTGCACCATTTAAGATGAGAGAAAATATGAAGTCAGGCTGTGCAATATGTGGCGTTGAAGGCAGCGAGCAGCGTTGAACTGCTAGCCTAACAACGATGATTTTAAATGTATTTTAAATGTGTAAAATAAATCCTATAACAACTGCATACTTGTTCTGTAGGCAATGCTAAGGCTAGGTGTTCACAGCTGAATGACTTTACTACATTTGGACAGAAAATTATTAACAAATACAAAATACAATGTCTAGTTTAAATGCAATATGAGACAAGTTTACTAAAACATGAATGACATTTTTAATGAAAGGGGAATAAAATCTTTTATGTAATACTCTTTGAAGCTAATTTCAAGTATTCAAAATCCTACATTACTGTACATATAGGCCTACTGTATGTAACAGGCTCGTATTGATTTGGGTTTCCAGTAAAAAGGAATTGTTTGATATTTTAGTGTAAAAAAACAAAGAGTTTTTTTTCTTTTTCAGATAAGAGGATGGAGGTGGTCTTCCCTCAGTTAATCTCACAGCACATTATCTCTGTGTTTACTCAGAGGCCGGACTACTTAGAGCTGCAGCGTGAGACCCATAAGGTGAGCATTCTCACACTCCCTGAGTACACCAGCAAACACACACACATGCTGTCTCAGCCTGTCTGACCACCCAAACACATTGTTTGTGTGCCATCAGAGCAGCTGCCGGGCTGCGGAGCGTTTCTGCACATCAAATCCTACAACACTGATGATGAGAACCATGCAAACACAAAGCAAACACTTCTTTTCTTTTCACAGCTGTCTGTCACTCTTGTGTCACTCTGACAGCTTTCTCTTGTGCTGTTAACCTCACAACTCACATTAAGTGTTTGTGAGTGTGTTTGGACCAATGGTATGCAAAATGGCAGTGTTAAAAAAAACAACAACATAAGAGCCTCACATCAAAACGCCATGAAATGATGTTTAGGATTAGGAATGATGTCCCTTCTGAAATAATCTGTCCTGGTGGCAATTAAGTGAAACTGTGAGCCCCATAATGGAAGAAATAATTGCGTTGAGTGCCAACAATAAATGCATAATTGTCTCTCTTTCAGAAGATAAATACTACACCAGGCTGTAGGCCTTTAGTTTAGGTTTAATAATCTTGAAAACACAGATGTTTATTTTCACCACAGCACCACTTTCCAGATGTTTCTTAGCTCGTCTACGTGAACTAAACTAGTGTGTTCATGTTGTGGGAAGGTTACAAAGCGTTTAGCACAGTCACTGAATCCATTTCAAACAGTTATAATGATTTTATTTTTAAGTTTTAGAAGAAGAAAAAACAAAAAACAAAAAAAAACTTACCTCTGCGTTACAGACAGCCAGGGCCAACAGAAGGACCACACTGATACCTCTCGACATCTGGACGAAGAATAAAAGAGTAAAAGTGAGATTTAGTGCAGGAAATAGTTGAACATATAGGTTAACATCCGTTTGTAAAGCGGATTCTCTGCAGGTGTAGAAAACTTGAAGAAAAAACGCTTCTTTCAATGTTCGCAGTTACCATTTTGTGAAAAAGCAGCTCCGCTCGAAAACCTCAGAGGAGGAGGAAGAGGAGGAGGAGGAGGAGGAAGCCGGAGCTGAAGCTTGTGTCTGGATGTTTTGTCGGGACGGAGGCGAGCAGGAGGTCCGTGATTTTGAAGAAATGTGAGGAGCGCGGAGGAATTCGAGAGCAGTCCGTCGATCTCTCCTCCTCCTCTCTCACCGCCTCGACCAATCAAAACGTCCGGAGTCCTCCGAGGACGTTTACAGAGGAGCAGAGGAGGGGGGAGGGAGCCCGGAGAGTGTGTGTGTGTGTGTGTGTGTGTGTGTGTGTGTGTGTGTGTGTGTGTGTGTGTGTGTGTGTGTGTCTAAGCTTTTGTTTGTGCAACAATAGCCTCCTGGAAAATTATACTACAAGAGGCTTTTTAATATCGTGTGTAGCAAGACATGTCATTTACACTCCTCCATCTTTATCCAAAATAATCATCTCATGTGGTTCATGTGTTCAAGAATACAAAGAACGGGCTATAGATATAAAATATATGAATGTGTTTATATATAAGATTATCAATGATAAGGTTGGTTTCAATAGTTAAAGCTGTAGTAGTACATCTTTGGCCACTAGGGGGCAGCAACACCTATTATGCAGCTGCACAGCGAGCAGTCAAGAGCCTGACTACATTTCCATTGGGCTTTGTAAGAAGTTAATTTAATCTGGTTTTAGGTTCTGAGAAAAAATATATTAGGGTGTTTAGATGTTCAGTCTGCTGCTGGAAGTCAGATAAATGAAAAAAACAACATAATCATGTGTGTTGGAGCCATGGATGGATATCATTTTCTTTTGTAGTATTTATTTAAGGTTAAGGTAGTCTGTTATATATTGGTGTTTTGGGTTATTGATTATTTTATCATTTATTAGGATTATATTGAGTAGGGGGATGTCGGGTCACATGGGTATGGGCGGAGATGTGTTGATTTAACTCACCTGTTCACCTTTTGTTCTCAGTGGAAGAGAGAGGGTGAGCTGGGTTGCTGCATTTTTTGTTGACCGCTATTGTTTCTGGCTCACTGTGATTATGAGTTAATGCACGTTATTATAAGTTAAGTTGATTGTCTTTTTTACGTTAATAAAAAAGTCAAACTTATTTTACGTATCGCAGTATTCTTTTGAAAGCGCGTCGGACAAATATATTAGGCCCAACCTCAGCCGCTATAATGTGGTTAATGTTTGGAATGACACAAGACTGGAGATAAAAACTCACAACCAATAATGACTGTATTAATATGAAATCAACTTAATTTAAAATTCGTCTTCTCATTTTGTCATACTGACTTGTCAAATTCATGCCCCTCATGTGCCTCGTTATACCTGTGTGATGTGTGATATTATGAATTACAGGATTACAGATGACATTATGTGCATGCTCTGGTGGGGAGTAATTAAAGAGTGATTACAGACGACAGGCTGAGACGTTGAACTCAGCGGCTCACTGGATCCTGCACAGAAAGGAGAGGATGAATGAATTCTCTTTTACTGCAAGCCATCAATTATATATAACTCCATCCCCTCCGAGCAAGCCTACCTGTTTAAATAGATGCTGTGATTATTTGACACCCCGGGGGGGATCTGTATGAGCGTGTGTAAATTTCAGTGTGTGTGCATGTGTTGTGCATTGGTGTTGAATAGAAAGCAGGGGAGTCATGCTGAGTTTAGCTTTATGTTTCATGCCTCATGCATATTATTGTCCTTGAACATGTTAGATATTTGTACCTATCTTTATATTGCCTCATTCAGTGACCTTTGTTTGCTTCCTGGCATGCAGGAAGCTGTGAAACAAAAAGAGAGGTGGTTTTTATTTTGTGTGTGTGTGTGTGTGTGTGTGTGTGTGTGTGTGTGTGTGTGTGTGTGTGTGTGTGTGTGTGTGTGTGTACTTCCCATGTGGAGTACAAAAACAACTTGAACCCAGTCAACAATGCAGCAATGACAAACTTATTTTGGCATGTTTAAAGAGAAGAAACTGTTGCCATCTGTTTCCAGGCTAACTCCAAAAAAAGACACGTTTAGATACCAAGAGGCATTTTTCAAGTGTGTGTGCACAGTCGCTAAATGTTAATGCTTGAAGGGGAACTTTGCAGATTTCACACTTTAAAGTCTGTTTGTAGGTCAAAGAGAATATAATTGTAGGGAGAAGAGAGAAGAGAGATAAAATGACTTTGCTTCATGCAGAAATTGCAGGCGCACGACTGGATCTTGGTATCAGAAGTGTTCTGGTTTTTCTCTTCAAGTTCAGGTAGCATGCAGTCACATTATCTATTAACACCAACTCTATTCTAGTCAGAGTGTAAACCATGGCAATGCAAAGAAAGAGAAGTCTTTCCTGAAGGTCTTTTATTGCAATCCAATGGCTACACCAGAGGCCCCAAAATGTCAGCCAGAGGGTTTTAAAGGCTTTATATGTGATTTTTTGATCCAGCAGATGTCGCCCTTGAGCACCAGCATGAAACCAAAACAACTGGCACGACATTGTTGTGTTAGCATGCTAATGCTAGCGATCTTTATTATGCTGGTATCTTCACACTGCATGTAAATTTACCTGAAATGAGCGTGATCTAGAAACACAGTTAAGCAGTGAGTACAGTATGTTATTCTTTTTTTTTAATTCTAAACAACTTTTATACACGAGGGGAGGAGTCAGCCGGCCGTCCCGACGATGTAAACAAAGTGAAGATAGGACTCTGAAAACTCTGAAAACATCACAGACAGTGGGACTCGGGTGTTACACCCATTGTAGACAGTCATGACTCACAGAGTTATTTTCAGAGGAAGTGTGAAAAATCGCATATAAAGCCTTTAAGAAAGTGATGTATGTAGAAACGTTCTAACAAGGACAAAGAAGTCATAGGGCAGGACGGACACTCCTCTGGTTCTGCTGTAATGGTTCTGATATAATTTATAGGAATGCAATGCAGCTGATGTAGTCTTTCAGCATATTCAAAAATCTCCATCTGGCCACTTCTTTCATTCTTTTTCTTCTCCATCCTCCGTCCTTGCAGCATACAGTAGTTTGTGCTTGTAGCTTCCAAAGTTTGAAAAGTGTTTCTTATTGATTTTGTTTTTTACACTCACGGCACATTGAGGGAAAAGTCAAAAGTTCAATGATCGATGTTTTTATTTTTTTTTATTTTACAGAAGCAGCAATTTTGCAAAAACCTGATATTGAAATACTCAACCCATGCTGCGCTCTGGTGCCAAAATGTGTCTCTTTATGTTTTTATCAAATAGTATTGGACAGAAGTGGATTACTGACAAAATGAATAACTGTCAGGGTAGCAATTTTTTTTACAACATTCAGCTATTCAGGGAGTATGAAAATATACAAACAGTGATTTTTAAGAGCTTGATTGATTTGAAAAGCAAAAGTTGACAGACGGTTCATCCTCTCATCTGCTCTCTTTTTGGTTTTGCCAACTGTTTAGCAGGTATTGCATCCTGTGCACATATGCATGCAGCGACTCACACATACAGAGAGATGTGTGAAAAATCAAAACAGCAGACAGACAGACTCTGAAAAGGACACACACAGTTACAGCAGATTTCTTTCACCATGTGCTGTGAGCAGCTGGGAGAAGATGAATACTTAATCAGACAAACTGTTTAATCTCTTGTGTTGCTGCAGCGTCCAACGATGCACTTTTTAAGTCATCAGTGTGAGAGCTGCTCTCTGCTCTGACTCATTTAAATTCACACTCTGTGCACATACATACATACATACATACATACATACATACATCATAAGAGTGAAGCATACTGTATTCATGACGGAGAACAGGAGGTGGTAGCTCCCCTGATGTCCCTCTGTGTTCTGCCGGGGGGCTCTCCAAGAGGCATCTCAAATATTCACAAACATCCATCAGTGCCTGAAAGGGTCAAAAGACGAGCCACAGTCGCACTGAATCAAACGCACACAGATACACACACACACACACACACACACACACACACACACACTTGGAGGCCACACACACAAACGTAGCATAACACATTCAATTAGTTTTCCTCTCTGCTGCTGGACTTTTCTTTAATCAGGATTTTTCTATCATCTCTCTTTCTCTGAGGCGTGCAGAAGCAGAAGAAGTGTGTTTCAAAGGCACCTGAAGGGCTCTTAGTGTCTTCAACAAGTGCATTGTGTGTGTTTATGCGTTGTGGTAAAGTATGTATGTGTTTGAAAGTGTGCGGTTAAGCTTCACAGCTTTATGACTGCCTGTAGTAGGTGTGGTAGGAAGGCCCTGTAGACTTTCATAACATGATCAGGCTTATGAGCTCTAGTTTCACTGTAATGATCACACTATCGCTCCACACTTACAAAGTCCCCGTCGCAAGAATAGAGGAGAAGAAAGAGGAGATGCCACATGCGAACAGATAAGCTAATTAGCTCCGCTAAAGCTGTGCTAAGATGCTTTTGGGAGCTTTTCTTACATTAAAGAAAAAACAATGAGCTGATGCTAAAGGGATTTGTTGTTGTTGTTTAAAAAGCGTTGTTCTCTTTTCCTCTTCTCACCTGGTCTCTGGCTTATAAGGCCAAGAGCGTCTACTAACTGCTCATTACTAAAGGCCTCACTCGTTAATCTGGCACTTGGACAAAAGAAAATAAAAAAGCCTTCCGTCTGTGCATTCACACTTAAAACCACCAAAAACCACAAACACACACGAGACACGCGTCCTGTTTCTCTGCAGACTTAGTCAACAATAACACCTTTAACAAGATCAGGGTTTATTTTCTGCTCCTTTAGGTGAGAGCAGAGAGAGAGTTAGAGTTGCAGAACAGTTTATTCAAACTTCAAAATACATCATTTGATGACTTCCTGTTTTCTACATGCAGAGGGCGGACTCAGGCTGTATGAGGGGGCCGCGGTACAAATATAAAAGTGGGCACTAGCTGCATGTGGAGGGGCAGCAAAACATTTTTAAAAAACATTTTTAACATCTAGTCTAGTCGGTCTTTTGTGTTAAGTTTTCTTGACTGAAAGGCATTTTGTTTAGTTTTCCCTTTTAAGATTTATTTTTAGGCTTTCTGTGCTTTATTGTGGAGATTTAAGACAGTAGACAGAGTCAGAAACTTGGGTGAGAGAGAGAGTGGGGTATGGGTCAACAAGTGGAAAAAGGAGCCAGAGGTCGGACCCA